CCTTAAAATGATCATCTCACTCCATGAGGATCAGCATGGCCAAGTCAGATACGGCAATGCACTTTCTGAGCCCTTTCTAATAAAGAATGGTGTGAAACAAGGCTGTGTTCTTGCACCAACTCTATTCACAATCTTTTTCAGCATGATGCTCCAAAGGGCCACTGCAGACCTCGATGATCAGGATGGTATCTACATTCGATATCGTACTGATGGAAGCCTGTTCAACCTAAGGCAACTGAAGGCCCACACTAAGACCTTAAACCATCTTGTCCGGGAGCTGCTTTATGCTGATGATGTCGCCCTTGTTGCCCACACAGAAGCAGCTTTGCAGCATTTAATATCCTGCTTTGCAGATGCTGCTGAGCTTTTTGGGCTGGAAGTCAGTTTAAAGAAGACAGAAGTTCTCTATCAACCAGCACCTCAGGAAGTCTTCCTTCATCCCCATATCACCATTGGCCAATCAGAGCTCAAATCAGTTCAGCAGTTTAATTACCTAGGTAGCCTCATCTCCTCAGATGGTAAGATTGATGGAGAGATAGACAACGGGCATATAGTGCCTTCGGAAAGCTTCATAAAAGAGTATGGCGAAATAAACACTTGAAGAAAAGTACAAAGATCAGTGTTTACAGAGCCATAGTGCTGTCTACTCTCTTATATGGATCCGAATCATGGGTCAACTACCGCCACCACCTGCGTCTCCTAGAACACTTCCATCAACGCTGTCTCCGTACAATCCTAAACATCCACTGGTCAGATTATGTGACTAATACATCTGTTCTAGAACAAGCAGCAGTCACAAGTATTGAGGCCATGTTCTTGAGAACGCAGCTGCATTGGGCAGGGCACGTCTCCAGGATGAAGGACCACCCCCTCCCTAAGATCCTGCTTTATGGTGAACTTGCCACTGGCTGCCGCAAGAGAGGACCCCTGAAGAAAAGGTACAAGGACTCCCTGAAACAACATCTCAGCCTTGGCCATATTGATCCTCATAACTGGTCTACTCTGGCCTCCAATCGGGACGTCTGGAGACACACTATCTATAACGCTGCTGATGCCTTTGAGAAAGCACACGGGATCACCCTTGAGGAGAAAAGACAACGCAGAAAGAATCGTGCCTTGCAGAATATACCACCTAAGGAGTCTTTCTGCTGTGCCTTTTGCAACCGGTCATGCCTGTCTTGTATTGACCTTTTTAGCCACCAACGTGCTTGCAACAAACATGGGTAGAGCCCTTCCCAAATCTTCGTTTGCAAAGCCCAGCCATGATGATGACTTGTGTGTGTAATGTGTGGCAGTTTTCATTAAAAGGGTGTGGCTGAGCAGCTGGGCATCTGGCTACTGCCTTTGCCCTGTTTTGTCTCCACTTCATGAAGTCAGATAAAATCATGGGGAGTAAGCAAGGCATTTCTTTCTGATCAGGCCTTTCTGTTGCTCGAGCTTACACTTGTCACTGGCATCTTGTTATAAGTCATTGACCTTTTTGCTTGCTTTGACTCTTTTTAGGAGGGTAGGAATATGATGAATGATTAACTTCTTTCTTCTGATGTTATCCTACTCACTCCACATGGTTCAAGTAGATTGTTAGATTTTCCTAGATTTTTCACTAACAGGGAGGAAAAAGAAAAGAAAAGGAAAAGCAGTTTCAAGACATTTTCAAAATCCTTGATTTGCAAAATAGAGAAAAATCCCCATCACTTTTCTGGGAAAGTTGGCTTAGCAAAGTAAAGGGCAAAGATTCAGCAGAAATAATACTTTTTGTCAGAAGAAAAAGTCCAAAAGGCTCTCAGGAGAAACTTTTCAAGGCTGTCACATTACCCAGGCTTTCCAGTAATTTTGTTTGATTTTTGTTGTTTTTCATAAATCTGTGAAACACATTTATGGCTCACTATAAAATTCTTCTGAAATTTCTCTCCTTCATCTGCAGGTTGATGGCCACACAAAAATGTGCCAGGGCTCTTCAACATCATAAGTCAAGTCCATTAGCCACAGCTGTTAGTGATATTGCTGTCCTTCACCAGTGTCAGTAGTGTTACTTCCAGTGACATACATCAGTCTCACCTTTATTCTAATCCTCCAGTTCACCTCTTGGCAACTGCTTGTCCAAACGTGACAAAGCAGTGCACAACTGGACACCACACAGGCACAACTGCTCCATTTCCCATTGTTGTTTCCCAACAGTTGTTTCCCAAGCTGTTGCCACTGATACAACCACTAACATGTTCCTCAAAAATATTCAAATTACAGCCTTTCCCAAGGATTCATTCTAGATAGAAATATGCTAGCATACACTGGTTGGGTGTAGCTCCTGGGAAAACAAAAGGCTCCAAGGATCTTCTTTCTCAGCTCCCCCTAGTATGTCAGCAGGACAACAAATTACAGAGATGAAATCAGTAATAGTTTTTATATTCTTAGTCCTAAAAACCTCTGCATGGCTGATCTGTGCTCTGTCTTAAAATGCTTTTGCTCTCCTTGGGGCTTTTAATACACTAAGTCTTTCCGTTTTACCTCAACTCTTGCTTGGACTTCTAACAGTGTTCCTTCAGAGGACTCCTTGGCTCAGCTAGAGCCAATGACCTAAGTCCTCTGGCCTGCAGGAAGGGCAGGATTTCAGCTCTCATTCTTGCAAACTTTCTTCATTTTCACTGTACCCCTTCATCTTTATTTTTCATTTCCTATGGCTATTTCCTAAACCTTCTTCTTCATTGCTGGTTCATACAAATTTCTCTCAAATTCTCTCTTTCCTTGGCAAAGAGAGAACACATTTTGGAAATGTGTTCGTTGGGAATGTCTGTGTCATGGTTCAAATAAAATCATCAGAGCCTTTTTATTGGCTAGGTACCTTTAGTGCAAAGTCTCACTGCAGAAGTGTTGTGTTCACTCAGCTCTCTGAGCCAGCTGACTGTTCATTTTTAACAGCATGCGGTGCCCATGCTCTTATCCTGGCCACTTTTCTTGGTTTTTAGGTCTTTGGATGATAGGACATGAAGAAATGGGTACAAACTGAAAGAGGGGAAATCTAAGTTAGATATAGGAAAAAATTCTTTACTATGAGGGTGGTGAGACCCTGGAACAGGTTGCCCAGGGAGGCAGTGGATAAGCCCCAGCCCAGACTGAATAAGGCCTGGAGCAACCTGGTCTAGCAGATGGTGTCCCTGCCCATGGCAAGGGGATTGGGATTATCTGATCCTTAAGGTCTCTCCCAACTCTTAAAGTTCTATGATTCTATGATTTCTAAAATACTGTCGCTTATGAATGCAAACAATTCAAGGCATTTGCCTTCTGAATGCAAATTGAACTTCTGATGCCTAGTCTCACACATTTTTGATCCTTGATGCCCAAGTGATGCAACAGGCAAGGCAGAGTCTCACAGAATGACTTTTCTATTTTTCGGCAGGATGTCTGTGCCCCCTCCTCTTCATGGCTCCTTGACTGGAGATGATTAAAATGCCATGGTTTTGAGAGGATTGTTTGATGTGTGAATTTTCTTGACTGCCAATACACAGGGTGATAATGATATGTCCTTAGAGATTGCTCCTTGGATGGAACATATTTAAAGCAGAAGCCTGCAGTTGTGTTCAGGAATGCAAACAAGGAAAAATAAAAGAGAGATATGGCAAGCCTGAATGGTGTCCTGTTGTCTCCTGTGAAAGGGAAGAGGTATAAGACAGAAAGAAAGATTGATTCAATCAATCTACTGGCTGCTGGGATCATAAATAGTTGCTTCCATAGATGTAAAAAAGATGTTTACTAATGACAATCTCTACTTAGAATGTACGTGTTATCTTGAGAACTACCAAGCTGTGAAGCACTGCTCCTCCCATTTTTACTGCATAGAAGATGAATTTACACCACAGTGATGCCCAAAACTTTCTTTAAAATGCCAGTAAGAAGTCTCTCTGTGTATTCTGACTCTTTAAGGATTCAAAATCCCTGCTCCTTTGGATGAGGAGCTTGCTCTTTGAAACTTGAGCCATCAGACTGTTGACTCATACAGCAGTTGGCTTAAAAGAAATGGCAGTTCTGTAAACTCGTGTTTTCTAGTTAAAAAATATCACCTCTCCCTCTGCAGGGATCAGGAAAAGATTTTCTCTCTTCCCTTATCCACCAATTTCATATTCACCAGAATGTTTCCTGTATAATTCAGTTCATACCTGCTGCTTTTGCAGAGTCTTGACGCTGTTAACATTTCTTCCAACCTTTCTAAATGGTAGAAAGCATTGGTTTTATTTAGGGAGTGAGATGTGAACCAAGCTACTGTCAAAAACATATTTAGAAAATAGAATTTGTAAATGTTATATCTTGTGGGTGGAGTTACAATGCCATTATTTTGATTCCAGTCTCTCAGTATTAAAAAAACATTTTGAAAAATCAAGACCTGGGTAAAGGATTTTTTAGAAACTATATGCCAGGCCTGTCTTACATTCTTAAGACACACTGTTCTAAAAATATCTCATGGTTTGTGTCTAGATCATTTTACCCTAAATATTGGAGTGAATGGACAGGCATACAAAAAGGCATAATGATGAATCTTATTTCAATTTTCTTTTGAGAATAAACATCAGTTATAAAACAGTAGTTAGTAATCAGCAATTAATTAAAATTTAATCTCCTTGAGTGGGTGGTAAGATATAAGGTTTGAGTCATAATAATCATGTCTAGACTAAAATAAAAAAGGACAAGTTTCTTTACTCTTTCCCTGACAGGTGTGTTTGACAGCCCATATCATATTTTATAGCATCGTTTTTGTCGTTTTTGAGTTTCTCCTCTGCTTCCAAGTTGAAACTGGCAAATACCGGATGTGAACAAATATTCTAGCAGTGCTATGAATTGTAGTGCCAATATTGGACTATAGAGTTCCCTGCTGAAGAGCCAACACAATTTTTGTTGTTTCTCAAGGACTGTTTTACTTGACTTGTGTTTTGGGAGTGGTCCTTGCAGTCAGCCATCTCCCTGCTCATGTCCAAGTCCTGCTTTGGAGGGAGCTGGCTGGAGGAGCCACTGTGAAAAGCCACTGTGTGAGCCAGGAGTTAATCAGCACAATCACGCAGCCAGTACTCAGACTGACGCCTGGCCCTCTTGCACTTGGCAGATAGGTGCAGCCTTTGACTCATCTTCTGGCAATGCCCAAGGGCTTATGTGGTTTGTTTCTGCAGCTCTGATATTTACAATCAGTTTAATAACATAAAATCTGTATCCTTCCATTCAGACTGACTTCTTCATGAGAACTGGAACTGTATTTGTCACATCTGGAGCACTGTGTCCACCCTAGGGCTCCTGATCACCAGAAATGCATACAGCTACCTACAGGAGAGAGTCCAGCAAAGGGCCATGAAGGTGATTAAAGGCTTAGGATATCTGATGTACAAGGCCTGGCTGATGGACCTGGTGCTGTTCGGTCTGGAGAAGAGAAGGTTCAAGAGGGATTTTATGAATATGTATAAAAATCTGATGGGAGAATCAAGAAGAGGGAGCCAGGCTTTTCTCAATGGTGCTCAGTGAAAGACAAGAGACCTCAGGCAGGAACTGAAATACATGAAATTCCATTTAAACATATGTAATGGTTTTGGGTCTAGGCCTTCCTTCCTGGTAACCAGGAAGGAAGTAAGTAAGTATTCCATCCTATTCCTTTACGTAACCAAACACATAAATAGATGGAGAGTGAAGCCTCTTCCTCTCTTCCCTTCTGGCAAGGTTTGGAGACAGCAGACTTCCGCAGGTAGGTCTTGCTCCTGTGGGGGAGCTGAGGCCTGGCTGGGCCTACAGGGCCTGTTGTTTTTGCTGATCCAGGGTCCAGTAGTGTGGCGGCGGTCGTTCAGTGTGATTGCTGCTGTCCCAAGGAAAGTAGTAAGATATTCTTTTGCTAATTCTTTAGTTTGCTAGATCCTGAGTTTTCGATTGTGCTTCTCTCTTTTGGTTTTGTCCTTTTTTTGTCCCTATTTTCCCCCTTCCCCTTCCCTTTTCCTTTTGGGATTGTATGTAGTATTTCAACTGTATATAACTGTACTATATGTAAATACATATATATATTAATATAGTTCAGCTAGTCTGAATTTTTTCATAGTTTTTTTTTCTCTTTTGCTCTTTGCAGGAGGTTTTGTGCTGGGTCTTGGGGACTTGGCAGGGAGCCAAATCAAAACTTAGACAACACAGAAACTAGCTATGAACTGAATAGTTCTGAAGGTGGTCAAACACTGTAACGAGTTGCCCAGAAAGATTGTGGAGTCTCCATATTTGGAGATACCCAAAGCCTGACCGAACAAGGCCCTGGGCGACCTGCTCTCTATGACCCCTCCTAGAGCAAGGGTTTGGGCAGGACAATTGCCAGAGATGCCTTCCTACAGAAAACATTCTCAAAAAAGTAAGCCTACAATATTTTCAATGTGTTTGACACATATGGAGGTACTGCTGCCTTATGCATAAACCTGTTAGATGCCCAGGTGGATAACCATGCAATTTAGTTGTGTTTATGAAAATTGCATACATTCAAAATACAAATACTGTACGTATTTTACTTTTTAAAAGCAGTGTTAGCTACAGATTCTGAAGGGTTTTTCCTCCCTTTTTCTCCTTTTGACAGAATGGCTCACTGCAACCACCATTTTCAAGTGTTGAGGAAGTCATTGTCATAAATGTAAAGTCCTTTAAGGGGAAATGAAGAGAAGCCACATCTCCCCTGATATGCTAGGCACTGCAAATAGCCCTGCAGGGACTCTGGTTCTGCGGCCAACAGCAAAAAGCCACATTCACAAATGAAATAGGCACCTTTTGCAAGGGGCAGCCCTTTTACCTAGAAGCAACAGCTAAGCTGTACTGCTACTAGTCTTTGCTGAATATCCAGAAGGTTTTGAAGGTGTTAATGTGTGAGCACCTATTTTAATAAATTAATAGCTGGAGGAATGAAGCTGACTGGAGTCTGCCCCTCAGGTCATAATTGAAGGTCATAAACTGAAGAATGGCTGTGGATACAATGCACAAAAAAGAACAGGAGCTGCCAGCTCCAGAGAGATGGTCACAAGGAAAATAATGAACTATATTCAGGAAAAAATACAAGGTATAAGAATTAGGAAGACATGTCCCCACTTTAAAAAGAATGTAGTCTTGTGTAGGAAAAGGGCAGGGACAGAAAATCTTATAAATAACAATCATGTGCTTTTTCTGTGTTTTCTCTAAGGGTGGTGGAATATTTTCATAAATCTATGACTAATTTTTTAGTTCTGGATCTCAAGCCAACTCTGCAATTAGCTAAACCTTTTAGTATTTTTAGTAAGATTACTATGTGGATGCGTTCAGCCAAGTTAGTCACACACATGCAAACACTTTTTTTTCACTGAACATTTATTATTCATGACCATGACCTCTGTGGCTGAGGAGGCAAAAAAGCAGTTATTAGTTTTTTCAATAACAAAAATGATCATGTGTTTGATGTGATAGGTCAAATCTTACCCAGAACTATGACAGAAAATAAAAATTTCTTTTAGGAAAAAATCACCTATCTTTAGATATCTAAAGGTAGCCAAGTCTATCTTTGGAGCTAGTTTCTTCTGCAAAACCATTATGGAAGATAGGAGGGGTTTTTTTGGTGTAGTTAACTGGTGTAGAGGGTATCGAGGCTGTTACTAAAGGGAAGTGACACAGTATGCTGGTATTGCCTGGCTGAATGTGAATTTACTGAGTATGGCAATCCTTTTCATAATAATGAACTTGTAATATGACTTTGATATTAGTTTTATTAGATTTTAGATCAATCTTTTAATATTTTTGTAAAGTTATTTTGATAAGTGATAGAATTCTTATAGTTTATTATATATGCTACCTCTGACCTTTTTTCTCTTCTTTATGCTAACTTCTTCATCTCCAAGTATTCTTCTGAAGTCTTTTAAATCTCTGAAGCTCCATAAATAACTTTTTCTCGTATTTATATTGAAGTAACTGAGTTACATTGTATCTTGAAAAGTTTTATCAAGTATTGCAATAAATGAAAGCCTTGTCAGATGTACACAAATATTTTCAACAACACTAAGAATTATTGTGGTGTGTAATAAGTAACTGTGAGCAAATAGCATGATTCTCAGTCTTAAGGATGAAAAACATATTACTGAACAAAGCAGTAAAATCTTACAGTAGATTATATCTTGGCAAAAGTACATCATGGATTTAGTTGCTCTTTAGCAGAAATTTATTCATTTTAGGCTTCTTAGGTCCCTGTTCATCATTCTTTTTGGCATTTTATACCACTTCTAGCAAACCTATGTCCAATTAAAAGGAACAGCTAGTTACAAGGGAAGTTTCTAGATGAGAGTCTTTATGGGTACCTATTTCTGTGCTTCTAGTATAAAAACCCAGGTTTGAGGGCTGTAAAATTTGAACTTAAGACCTGTTTTATCTGTATCGTAGTAAAAATATGATCCTTTTTTTGGGCTACATTCACATCTTACGTATTTATTTTCTGTCCTTAGTACATCCTATATCCCCTTGCTAAAATTTTTAATGTGGAACTCATAGTACAAGATGGGAATTCAGAAAACAGAAAAAAATGTGGTGATGTGTATGCTGTCATGGTACATGTGCTGGCTGTGCTGTTACAGTCTTTCTTACCTGGACTCTGTAGACTAGTAGGTCTGGAAACAATGCTCTGAGTTGTATTTTGATCTCCATCCATCTCTCCTTAAAACACAAACCATAAAGGAGAGTGATTGGACCACTGAAGACCTCTATCAACCTCACTCCCATATGATTAAATTGAAAGCACAGCCTTGTCAGCTTGGCTGTCAAGGGGAAGCATCATTTATAATGCTCAAGACCCTGATCTTTTGGAAAAGTAAATAAAACACATTAGATGCCTCACAGCAGGAAAAGGTTTTCCTTGGTTGTTTGGGTTTTGTTTATTGACAATGTTTCCAAAACCACATTGTTGTTTTGTTCATGATCATGTTCTGAGCCTATTAATTAGTCTCTCTTTGCTCATCCTGCAGCAGTGACTAGATGCTCCAGCCTTGTAAATGGCTCCATATAAACCCATAATAAAGAGCTGAAGATCTTTTTTCCTCCTCTCAAATTACACAAAGTGAATAGTGCAAACAGTTGGGAGGGGTTCAAGGCACAGCAGGCAATAGATGTGATTATGGCCTGTTCAAGTTTGAGCCCATTCTTGTGGGTAACCAAGGCAGTGAAGATATGGTGACACATTTTGTTGTATGTCTAAAGGAAAAACACCCCTTTAGCCCCAGGTGCACATGCTATCAGGAGCTAAAGCACATGTCACTGTGACTTTGCTGTGGCTAGGTGAAGACAGTAGAGTTTTAGCATATACAGTGGTTGTATCTTCATTTTTGTCCTGTAGGCTTATAAAATTAGATGGGTTATGCATACCAGCTGTCTAATATCTGCCAATATTTTGTCATCTTTGGTGAACAGACAATTCAAAGAGGAAAGTGAGGCAGGATGAGGAGGGCGATGACTTGATTTTAATCACAGCTGTTTTCCCTCCACTGTCAGGTGTGTTTGGCAGGCTGAAGTTAGTGTGTTGAGCTGGGAGTGCTGGCGCAGCTGTATAGTTTTCTCTATGCAGAGCAGTAGGACTGTGCCAGGAGCTGTGTTGCAGGAAAGGTGGGTTCAGATTTGAGCCAGACCAGCAAAAACGGGGGCAGGTAGTCTAACCAGCAGGATGCAGTAATCTCAGTCCTTGGTGAATCTAGGCTCCAGAAAGCAGATGATCTTAATTTACAAGGGCAAAGTAAGTTATTCAAGGGTATGGGAGGTATTAATTGGATCAGACCTTGTGTTGCTGCACCCCGGGAACAAGACCTTGCTTTGCCAGCTAGGGATGAGTACCTGAAATTCCATAGGGATCTTTCCTCTCTTCTTGCAATTACTTGATTTAGAGTTATGTATTGCTTTGGTGTTAAAAGGTGCTTTCTACCATTTAAAGCACACAGAAAATTTCTTACGAAATACTTTTTGCACAGATTAATAGGAAGGAAATGGTTAGCAATTATTCCTTAGCTAAAATGATCAGACTACAGAAGTCTTCTTTTTTTTTCCTAACATGTTCTTCTGTGGTAAACCTCGTGTTTTCTTGAATATATTTTTGAATAATTACTTTTGTAAATCTGAGAAGATTGGGGATTGGTTGGATTGCAAAAGAGGCTTTGCAAGGCATAACTTGGGCCCAGTTCCTCTCATTTCAGGTCAAACATTACTCTGAAATAGAATAAGGTTTTGTTTGTGGATTTTTGTGGAAAGGACGATGAGAGTGGAGTCTATAAGAGAGAAACCATGTGGCAAATGCTTTCTTAGCACTTATTACCCTGAAAGCATATCAGCATATATCAGATTCATGCTAATCAAATCGTGTTAACGCCTCATCATGTAGCTCTGCTGCATCATTCTGTGCTTTGTGACCTAACTGGTGTAATGAAGATGGAAATTTTTATAGCACACCCCTCAAAACCCAATTACTAGCAGACTATACCCTTTCTCACTTACACATTGATCAGATATTACAACTTCTACTTGATGATAAAGTTCACTTTTCCTGTGGATCACATAAGTGGTGTGTAAGGACATGCCAGTTATGGGTGGCCATCTCTCTCTGCTTCTGGCAAGCCAGATTCAGCCAGGTCTCCTGTTGAAGGGTCTATGAACTGCCAGCGGGTCCAGCTGGATATCTGCATAACAGAATCAAGAACCCAGCTCACATGCTTATACTTCACCTCTGACCACAGTGCTTGCAATATCAGGAGGGGAGCAACTACAGGAACTTCCCTTTTTGGAAGTCAGTAGGAAAACTGACTGAATAAGGACTGTGGCAACTTGGTTGTAGACAAGCATCAGTTCTCAACTAA